TCTCCTATAGTTAATTCCTTAATTTCATCTTAGAAGGTAAAGAATTGGAATCACTCCCCACGACAAACGTGCTTAGATTAATATAATCAATAATTTTGAATATAAGTAAAATTATTTTTTTTTACTTGTTACTTTTTTGTAATGCAATATGTCAGTTTTAAAAATTTTAGGTACGGCCAAGTAATATAATCATTATTGTATTAAATAAAATTCTCTAAATTAGTTTTGAAAATAAACGTTGATGCAATTATTATTTATTAATTAAATATTAATTTTTGAGATTTAATATTTATAATTTTAGTAATTATAATTATAATTTAAAAGTATATTATAGTATGCTCTTTATTATGTTTTTTCGAGCGTCTGTCCAAAGTTAAAAATTCTATTGTAATTTTATAATTCAATGATGAATTATAAAATCATATTTGATATCCGATCAATTCATTGCTAAAATTCAATTTTATAAAAGTAAAAATATATTTTTAAAATAAGTGAAGAATTTTTTACTTGATAACTATAAATGCTACTTAAAGATTAAAATTGACAATATTAATGGAAACATTTAAGATAGCCCCTACACATTCTATAAATACTAAATTCGAACCACGTAAATTTAATGGATAAAAAAAAAATGGTAATAGTATTATCTTTTAAAATGTCACTATTTTAATGGTCATATAATAATAATAACCATTTTACTGGTTATTATTTGCCAATAAAACATTAACATACTTCAAATGACATCTATATGCCAACGACCAAAGTTATAACGATATAATTTATATCTCATTTACAATTTATTGGTCGTATTGAAAGGACGTATTTATCTTACATATCGTGTACGTTCGTAGTTACCCACTTATTTTTAGAGTATGTTTTACTAGTTTTTAAACCAGATTTTCGCTTTTTCGGCACATTTACGATGCTCATCGGGGCTCTGGGTGCAATTCTGACCCAATCTGGTATTCAGTATCACTTTCCACTGCGCCGTAAAAGTACTTTGCAAACTTCCAACCCACAAATAATTCGTGTAAATCTGGTGAGAGCAATCAAGGTTGTAAATTTTCAACCAGCCCTTTATACATAGCATAAATCCAACGGTAAATCTATTTATAATGATCCCAATCTCAAACTAGTACCATGTATTGCAAATCACCCGAAGTAATCGTTGTGACGTTGCTCCCCCTAAGTCTCATTTGTAGAAGAATCCTCTCCTACCCTTGATCCAATCCTTTCTTTAATTCTCACCCTTTTGATCCTCATACTTCCCTGTTTACACATAGTGAAATTTCCTATGCAATCTATTCGCGTAAATCGTCCGCCTCTGGTTTGGATGGAGTTTCCTCTTTAGTTCTAAAACATCTTCCTTCTCATTGCCTTGAACGTATTTTAGCCAGTCTCAATTCTTTATGGTTCCAAAGTGTTATTCTTGATTATTGGCGTTAATTTAACGTCATACCTGTACAACTTAACATCCATCGCATTTTGTTCATTTTCACTCTGTAAAGTAGTCAAATATATTTTCAAGAAGGCTTGATTGGTTTTTTGAAAAAAATAACTGTCTTTCCCCTAACTTATACGGGTTTCGAAGAGATCATGACACTATGGAGTGTTTATCTACTGTCACGGCCTGTATTTACAAAACATTTTGTGATAAATCCTATTGTCTTGCTGTTTTTGTAGACATTAAAGGAGCTTTCGATTCTGTGCACATTTCGCGTCTCTTCACATCGTTTTCTTACGTTCCTTTTCCTTCCAATTTAATATTAAATCACACATCCTACCACGGCCTCCCACAGGTTAGCTGCCTTAGTCTTCTACTTTTTAATAATTACATGTGCAAAGTAAGCCTTTCCCTCACCTCTAGTGGAACTTTTTCACTTTTCAATTCCAACGATATTGTCTTTTTCTCTCCTTATATATCCATTCATAATACCTTTAACTCTCTTAATAACTCACTTACCCTTCTCTCTAACTCTCTCTAAATGCAATATTATAAAACTGCCCAATAAAAATCCAATTAATAATTTTCACTAGAAAAGACTTACCGTCATTTCCGTTATAATTAATCTTGATGAAATAACTATCCGCCATTTGATTACGTCACTTATCTAGTCTTCAAACTGGACCTTAAGCTGAGATGAGCTTTTCATTTCTATTTCATTCTTTCGACCGTTACCCACTGTGCAAATTTCTTACGCTGTATTACCAGAACATCTTAGGGATTTCATCCCTACATGATAATGCAGCTCTATTTTCCTTATCTTTTCTTTGATTGTCTTGCCCTAATTAACAGCAGAAATACACTGTTTAGCCTCTTAGCAGCCTACAATACTAATTCTCATCTCGTAGCTAATACTCTTAATTCCCGTTCTCCCATTATATTATTTCCATCATATTTTCCCTGAGGTGTTTAGGATTTGTCATCTAACTTGTAATTAATTTTTTTATTAATTTTTTTTCTCTTCTTCCATTATTTCAAATAAAAAGTTTAATTTAATAATATTTTAGTTTGTACATTAAAAGCTCTGTTAACAATAATTTTAAATAATGTTTAATATCTCTCTATTTTAGAGTTTACTAACAATTATTGTCGTATCTGTTATAACATAGTATAGTTACTGTTATACTTTTTAATTTTTTTTTATTTATAATTGTTGAGCTGTTAATTATTTTAATAAAGGCTTTAAAAAAAATCATTTATAACTGAGACTTTAATGTGAATTCATCATTCGACACTTACTTTCTTACTCTTTTCTACTGTAGTATATTATTATTATTATCGTTTATTTCTCCTTGTCCATTGTCAATTATTATTTTTATTTTCTTTGACTACTGTTAATTATTTTTAAATGACTGACTTCAAAATAGAACATACATATAAGAAGAGAGAGATACTAAGAAAAACTATTGCGAAATGTCTATTTTATTTTTTTGAAAAATATGGAGTTAATATTATAAAAAAATTTGGAGATGTGAGCAATATAAAAATAACTAATAACCTTCTGATTGTTATAGCTAAAAATAAAATTTAAATAAAATTCAAACGAAGTATAAAATTATAGTACGGCGATAAGTCTATCATCCGTCGTATGTACAAGTTGTGTTATATATTTTCTTTATTCATAATTTGATATGGATAACCCTGAATTTATCTAAGAGCTTTGCCAATAGAGTACAATTTGAGGCATAAAAATTGTTTACTTAATTAAAAAAAAAAGAATACAGTTAATTTTATTATTTATAAAAATACATATAGTACTCAGTCCATTATTAATAACAAAACAAAATTAAGAAACATCAAAATAATAATATCATAATACATTATATGAAAATAATGTATTAAATTCATTTGAAAAAATGTTTATTAAAATTAGAATTTTTTTTTTTTGTTCGTTAGTATTCTAATGGGGTTTTTTTTATAATTAAAATCTAAATAAAACGTGTAAAAATAATAATTTATATTAATTTTGGCGATCTTTATATTGATACTTAAAAAAGAAAATTAGGAAATACTAATTTTATTTTAATATATGTTCCTTCATGAGAAAATATTGAGTACACCACTGACTGTAGCAAAAAAAAATTATTAATTTTCTCAATAAATATTTTTTTAAATTTTATTAACAAGATATATTTATAAATACATTTCTTTAATTTTATACTTATTAAAAGCTATAATTACTCGTTATTTGCTAGTAAAATACTTCTTTTTTTTTTGTGTAATTACTTTAAAAATGGTAACTTAACTTAAAAGTAAGATAAAGTCATCGAGATAAAAATTTATGCATAAGTAAAAACTTTTTAAAATTATTTTTCAATTTTTATTTTAATTACCATTGTATACAATCAGGGGTGTCAATAATATTTATGGGATTTGTGTTAATATTTAGTATTAACATTTTAGAAAATGTTATTAAGATTAAAGTTCAATTCTTATATAGAACAAAATTTATTATCAATTGTTATAAACTAAATAAGACCCTAAAACTGATTGATTAATATGGACTTAAATTTTATATAAAACATTTTAAAGTTGGTATGAGCTATATATATATAAGTATTATATATATATACTATATATAAATAAGTACATATTCACAGGGATGTCGATCGCAACCCAAACTCTCTGGAAATATTATACTAATATAACAATGAATATAAAATAATATATATAAAATAAGAATCGTGAAAAATAGTAGTGCTGACCTAAAATAATGATTTAATTTATTACTCTTAAAACTTACTCACCTATGCCTGAAGGGTTTTAGTCAACCCCCGAATACTAAGAATATACTATAGACGGTCTTATATCAAATGCCAGATGTGATAAAATTATTTGTTTAATTGATTTAAAAAATCCAAATTGTTATAAAATATTCTCATTATTAGTATATGAAAGGGTTATCTAACTCGTTAAATATTTAAAAATTACAGCACACTAACTTTCAAACCTTCTTAATAAAAATCATAATAAAATATTTTAATACTATTCAATATAATATAATATAATTTGTAGCTGGTCACATAAATAAATTTATAATTATCAATAAAACATAATTATAAAAATAATTTATTTTTAAATGAAACAAATTTGTCGAATAACATCTTATATTTATACTGTATTAAGTTATCATTTAAAAGCTATTTAAAAAAATTGTAGAATTGTAAAGTTTTCTTAGATTGACTGCAGTACATATACATAAAAACAATTCAGTTTAACTTAGTTTTATATCCAACTTTTAAATGACTTAGTCAATAATTCTCCGAGTTATCAAGAAGTTATAAATTTATTGTCATAATTTAAATATAGTTCCATCAAATTGATTATAATAAAATTATTACCCATTATTTTAACGCATTATGTTAAAATAATTATTAAATAATGCATATTTTTGGAAAATTAATCTTAGGTTTTCAAATAAAATTTTTGTTTGATAATTATTATAAGTTTTTACTAAAATCAATCAATTTTACTCACTAATATGATTTTTTTAAAGCAAAATGACGTTTAAAAAAGACGGTCTCATAAAGGACTTATGGCCCAATATTCGGTTAATACAGTTATCTGGTTTGTTTATATCCGAATATTATGAAGATTATTCTGGATTAACTGTATTGATGAGAAAAATCTACAGCTGGATCACTACAGTTCTCATATACTCTCAATATTTATTCATTGTAATATTCATGTTCACGAAATCGTACGACTCTGATCAATTGGCAGCTGGTGTAGTAACCACATTATTTTTTGCTCATTCTATGATCAAATACATGTACTTCAGCACAGGAACAAAATCATTTTATAGAACGCTAGGTTGTTGGAATAACACCTCTCCACATCCACTCTTTGCTGAATCTCATTCCAGGTAAATATTAATTATAATTTAATAATGGTCCGAATCATTTTTATTAAAACTCATGTTTGTCAACAAATTTTTTATAATGTAATAAAAATTTAAACTAAAATTATATTCTAGAGTATTTTGAAAAACAAGTTAAAAAAACAGTTCTATAATTCATAGCAAATGGACATTCATATAAATTTCTATGTTTACATTATAATTGACCAGAGTTTTGCACAGAGATAAACTTCATACACAATTTAAAAACAATGTACTGAAAATTTGTGATTTGTTTTTGGAAAAAAAAATGATTCAACCAAGTTTAAGTTCTAAATAAAATAAATTTTCTAAGGGATCCTTTTATACATAAAAATATCCTTTTTGTTTAAGTTCAATGAAAAATCGGAGCGTATTTAGTTTTATTCATGTTTTGAGCTAAAATTTTGATTTTCATGTTTATAAAGAAGATAAACAATAAAAAAATATAAATTACTATGAAAAATACAGGTACGAAATCTACCTAGTCACGTATTTTATTAATATTTTGCATTTTTACAATATTTGTGATAATTATTTTATCATCAAAATAACCATGAGATGGGAAATAAAAAAGTTATATTTTATCGTTCTAATTGTTTAATTTAAATGTAAAGAATTATTTCAAAAAGTTTTGACTTTTATTGTTTAGGTTTCATTCGATATCCTTAGCACGAATGCGTCAGTTATTAGTGATTGTATCAATAGTAACTATTTTCGCCACTATCAGTTGGACAACTATAACATTTTTCGACGATAATGTTTGGGATGTTCCTAATCCGGAAACATTCAATGAGACAATGGCTGTTCAAGTACCAAAATTGATGTTACGCTCGTGGTACCCTTGGGATGCCAGTCATGGAATTGGTTATATAGTAGCTTTTGTTTATCAGGTAAATATATAGAAGTGTACATATGAAAAGATGGAGGTTATATCTCCCGATATATGAATAATATTTCGTTATACCGATGAGAAAAATCGAGTTTTTTTATAGGCCTTTCCATTTTTGGGTAAAATGTATTAATTAAATGTCATGCAAATTAAATAGTTGTTATTTGACATGTAACAATTTTTTAAAGAAATTTACTCAGATATGTTTCATTATTATATTCTTTCATTTAGTTCTATTGGATATTTATAACACTAACTCATGCCAACTTATGTGAAGTTTTATTTTCATCATTTTTAATACACGCATGTGAACAATTAAAACATCTAAAAGAAATCCTTAGTCCATTGATAGAATTGAGTTCAGCACTTGATACAGTTGCTCCAAATCAATCAGACATATTTCGTGCTTCTTCGGCTAAGAGTATTGAAGGTTTTGGTAAGTATTTTATAAATTAATATTTTAAAATTAAAAACTTTAATTTTAAAGTGTATGTTTACATTTTTTTTAAATTGAGAACTAAAATTATATTTAAAAAAACGGTATTGGGTTCGTGGCATAATTTGAACAAGTATAGATGATATCTGATAGTGATTAAAACCACTATCATAAGAAACGCTTCGATGCAAATCCATACATAGTGTATAATTTTAAGAAATTGGTGATTTCTTCCAAAAGTAACATATACTACTATTTCCTTAATTATATTCTGATTATTATTCTTTTATCGATAAATTGAATATATAAATAAATACTTAGTAATTTATAGTTTTATTTATAGTAATTAATCTTAGTATGAGATTGATATTCAATAATTTAATAATAGAAATTTTACCAAGAAATTATAAAGTAGTTGTACATTTCATTACTTTTATATCAAATGTCTATACAAATTGAAGTGCTTAATGTAAAACTTTTCAGAAAATAATTAAACATAATTTGGTCTAAATTGGTCTACAACAAATTTTCGTCAGTGACATTAATGTAATTTTTATAAACCCAACTAAACCCAACTATACAAAAATTGTGATCTTTTGACGTAACGTTGAAAGAAATTGGTCCGGTGAGAGCTGAGGAAAAGTGGCGACAGTTATAAAAAAACCACATCATAGAATAATAGTATAATTATTAGTTTGGCATCGAAGCAAACCTTTTCAGATGTTTTTTTTTTTTTAATTGTTAGTCATAAAATATTACGTTTGAAAAGGTTAATTTATTTTTCAGACTTTTAATTTTTTTATAACCATTAATAACTTACGTAGAATACTGTCAAATGTTTAAAATGTATATAATCTTATATCTTAAATTATAAAATGTACATTTTCTGAAGCTAATCAATTAATTATTAAATCTACAAAAAATATTGATGAAAAAGGATGTTTGTCTAAATAAAAATACTTGATACTTACTTTATTCTTTCAATGTTATTAATTAGTCATGAGATAATAATTTATTAATTGTTCATAATTCTAATTTTGAACCACAATTTCTAAACGGTTTAAGAAATTATTAACAAAGTATTGTAAACTATTTAATTTTCAGAACAGGATTACAAAACTTCATATACCAATGAAATAACTGAATATGGTAATCTAACTAAAAGAAACACTGAAACAAATGGTAAAGGACCAAACAACTTGACTAGTAACCAAGAAGTTTTAGTAAGATCAGCTATTAAGTATTGGGTAGAACGGCATAAGCACGTTGTAAAGTAATTAGTCATTAAATTATTTAAATACTATTGTTTAAAATCGTTGGATTTCTAATTTTAAATAGATATGTAGGATTAATAACAGATTGCTACGGTTCAGCTCTACTAATGCACATGTTAGTGAGTACTGTGATTCTGACTATTCTTGCATACCAAGCGACAAAGGTAAATTACCAAAACTCTAATTAGTAATTCAGGAATACCATTTAAATTTTAAAACGGTCATGTGTGATGAATTTACACTTTTATTGATGATTAATTTGATTTAATTATAACTTTTTTCAAATATATATTTTATAATAAGTTAATATATTGTTTATTTTGTCGATACAAATATAAAATTAAATCTGGTCAAAAAATATGTAAAAATCTGAAATTATAAATTTACCTGTACTTTACCCCAATGGGCTTCTCTTTAGTATTTACACTATTTTTTTATAATGCTTATACAGTGCCCATTTTTAGTTAAATTAATTAATTTAATGTAAATAAATATCACTAATTATTATTACTGTTAGTTATAGGGTATCATTTGTATTTTTGTAAAAATACATATAAATTTGAAAAATTTTATATATTATAATAAATATTTAATAGTCATCTATATATTTTATAGATTAATGGAATAAATGTATTTGCTCTCTCAACGATTGGCTATATTTTGTACTCATTTGCTCACATTTTTATGTTCTGCATACATGGAAACGAATTGATTGAAGAAGTATGTGAAATAATATTTCGATAAAAATTATAATCACAAGACTTTTTAAACAAAAGTTTATAACATTATAATACATTACTAAACTTTTTACAGAGTTCATCTGTCATGGAAGCAGCTTATAGCTGTCATTGGTATGATGGATCGGAAGAAGCTAAAACGTTTGTTCAAATCGTATGTCAGCAGTGTCAAAAACCTTTAATTGTTTCCGGTGCAAAGTTTTTCAACGTTTCCTTGGACTTATTTGCTTCGGTAATGCTATAAATTGAAAATAAGAGTTTCACATAATGACATATATAGACAATTTGAATATCATTGTAATCATGGAGAGAAGTAACGTGTCATATCCCCCACGACAAATATAATTATATGTTGAGGATACAATTTTTTTGGTTTAAGGGGGAGGGCGAATTGAAAAACGTTCTTATGTATATCCCCTAAGACGAAAACCTAATAACGCCACTAAGTTGGAGGGAAAGGCGTCACAATTATCTGTTTTGTAATTGTGGCATAATAAAACTTAATACGAATCTAGAGAAAATTATTTAATAGAGCAGAGTTATAGGCTATTCTTATTAAACTGTCCATAAGTCTTTATTTAAGATTTATTTACAAAACTGAGATATATTCAATTGTAAAAAATATCAATCTCTCAAAAAATTAGCCACTAGTATCATACATTTTACAAACATTTAAATTTTGTTACATCTTATTTTAAACAATAGTTTTATAATAATCGTTTCATTATAATTAGAAGATACGCCTTTAGATATTTTGTACGTGATTTATACTAAGTTTATTCACAATAAATTATAATTTAAATTTAATATTGATATTGACAATTTTATCAGGTATTGGGTGCAGCTGTAACATATTTCATGGTGTTGGTGCAGCTCAAATAATTCATTATAGTTCAATGAAATTGATATTAGTTTATATGATTTTATCAACTGATCATACGAATATTTTTCGATTAAGATTATTATTCAATTTGATAGTATAAAATTGTAATAAAATTCGTTAATTAAAATATAAATTTACATAAATTAATATTAATTTTAAAAGTAAACTTTTTTCTTGTTTTTGAATTATCTATTAATAGACTTTATAGCTGTTTTAATCGTATTATATAATATTATTATTACAATAAATATTATGTGTACATTTAAATGATTATATAGAATTTAACACTTAGACTTATTTGTACAATATTACAAAAAAATTTAGTTAAGTTTTTTTGAATGAATTAAATAATTATAAAAATATAAATTTTATTATTTGGTTATCAATTTTACTATTAAGAACACATTAAGTTAAAATAAAAATATGAATAATAACAATTATTTTATTGAAGTTAATTAATTCTGAATACATTTCTTACCTTCATTTTTCATCAATATTTAACATAAAAAAGTAATTCCTAACAAAATTGTATTGTGTCTACTACTTTACATTCGTACTATTATATTTTTATTGCATTTAAAATTAATGTTTTTGCTCAAATTTTATTTTTTATTGTGATCTTTGAATTCAAATTTAGAGTGTTCCTGTCTCAACGAACTTTTTAAAAGTGGATTATTAGTATCGAATAAATCGTACTTTACCAGTGATATTACGTTTATTAAAATATTTTTAATTCTTCAGGTAATTACCTTAAACATTAAAAAGAATAGACGCGCAAATGAAATAATAAAACAACAGCGTAAATAATTTTGATTTCATTATAATTATTAGTGTAATTTTGAAATTTGAAGTATTTTTATCGAAATTAAATATGTTGGGTACCTTTTTTAGACTTTTGAACACATAAGTTTCGACACGTTATCAACAGATTAAAAATACCTAATAGTTATTATAAAATACTTCAATTCTTTATTATTTCTACATGTAAAAAAACCCACCAACGAATTTTTTTATTTAAAGCGAATTTGACTGAGAACTTTAAAGTAAATCAAACTCAATATCACCGAATTTTTTTTTTAAAAATGTACGTACATTTTTTTGTGTTACTTTTTTATAATTATTATTGTAAGTGTCTGTTTCAAAAAAATTCTGAATTAAATATAATTAATGAGCAATATTCTCTGTCTATTGTATTCATATCTGCTATATTGAATATTTTTAGTACAAGTTAACCATTCACTATTTATATTGCAGTTTTATTTGAAAAAATTGAATGTAAAATTTTTTTTTAATTATTTATTTTGACAAGTATGAATGAAATATATTTTTTTAGTTTGTTAGTCATCTGATTTACACATTATTTAAATTTCTTAAAGTATTTCGGCTATTTTTATATTATAAAAATTACTTCTTCAAGATTTTATATGAACAAAAGTTTAGCTACACAGATTACAATATGATAAAGCTGTTTTGATTAAAAAGCTAAAAGATCTCTCAAAAGATATCTGAAAAACTTAACATAATAAATTGAAACTTCAGAGATAGTAAATGAGAGGGAAGAAACGCGTGTTGAATAAACGTCAATAGAAATTGGAGAAGCCAAATGAATAATTTGTATAGAGAAAAATGTTACTACAGAAACTCTAATAATATTCAAAAACACAACATAAATTGTAAACAAAATTATAATGATTCGTTCATTATTATTAAATAATTTTCGAATAAATACAAGCTGATTTAAAGAATAACCAATAACGATTGAAGCTATAAAAATTACATTTGTTTTTAAAAAGATGATAACTCAAGAAATAATTTAGTAATAACTTTAAAGAAAATATTATTTGAATCAATGTTGTACATTTTTATTTATAATATAACAGTTAGTTAGTTAATTGAAATCGACATTATACAACATCAATTAGTATGTTATTCGCACTTAATTATATAAATCATATGTTGACTTAATTATATTATAAATCATTTATAGATAAATGAAAAAAAATATATTTAGTTTTATTTATATCAAAAAATTAAAAAGATAATTTTTATGATCATTTATTTAAAACTTTATATTTATAACACAAGGCCTAAAAAAATATATTTTTAACCGATAAAATTTTAGGTTTTTATATATATTTTTAAATATGTATGTATTAAACTAGTATCGATAGTAATTTTTTTCTTGACTTTTAATTGTTTGTATTACATGCATTATAGATCTTTATCAAAATAATTTATGAAGTCCAAGGTATGTATATACGATTTCAATAGGTCTATTCAGTTAATTTTAATCCAAAAATTATTTCATTGTGATGAATTTTTTGTTTCTTTGCAAAGCTTATTGATAATATTTCTCATGTATATCCCTCCCTTTCACATAAGAATCCCCAACTAGCTACTCATGTTTTATATTAGCTTAAATATTTTTGAAGTTGCTAAATTCAAGTTTAATATCAGATTTTAATAATTTACTTGAATAAGATGGCAAAAATTGTATACATTTTAAATATGTACTGTGCATTTTAGTGATAACAGTTTACAATGTCTAACGATAAATTTAACATTGAACATTTCCAATATAATTTATATCATAAACACTAAATATTATATTATTAAAATTGTGTCGACGCGATCTTGTTTTAAATTGATATGATTTGTAGCTTAAATAGGTAAGATTAATAATATTTTTAACATGTTTATGATAATTCATGACGATGAGATCACTAAAGTACACGACTAAATTTGATTGTAAGTAATGCGTCTATAAACGCAGCAGCTAAATTAATAATATAATTATAATCTTTTAATAAAATTATATTTAATATGTATTTAATAATAAAGATATTTCAAGTTTCTAACTTATTATTATACAAGGTGATTTTTTATCATTAATCACTTAATTAATCGAAAAATAAAAATAATAATATTAATTTTGTATTGGTTTCTTTTAGTTATATATTTTTCAAAATTCATCAGTCATGAAGTAATTATTATTTATTGAATAATTATATATTTAAAAAAATGTTTAATAAGTTTTTGATTAATTTAGTGGTTCATGATAAAAGAATCACTCTCTATTTACTTATTTATATAATTATACATTACATTGTATTGTTTAGATATAAAATCAAAATAACAATATTGTCACATTTAATATAATATTTGTTATTTATAAAAAAAAAATTCATTGATTGTACTAAGTACAAAATGTAACCGATGTGTTATCATAACCATCAACAAAAAAAATATAATTTTTTTCAACCATTTGTTAGTTTTTCTAAAAAAAAAAATAGGAAATCAGTTGGAATATTTGTTCTTGAAAAGCCGTGTTAATATTTTTATAGTGACTTATTATGATTAAAATGTCAAAGACATAGATTTCGGTGACATGATCCCATTAAACGTGTCCTTGAAATTGGCGATTCAATAGGTAATGTAAAGACAAAGCGTCTTACGCAAACGAGACTATATTTAGATTATTCTTCTGTAATTATTTGTTTAACTCTTTTAAAAAAAATTATAAATGGTTGCTGACAGTGATGGCTTAATGTGTATGAAACGTGAGGTTATATTAACTAATGCATTGTATGGTGTATTTATAAAAATACATAGTATTTAAAAAAGTATAGTAGAGCTTCAATAAAGTAAAGACGAAGTATTTTTTAGATTAGTATTTGTTGATATCTAACAGTAGCTAAAATCACTGCCGTAAAACGCTTTAATGCGCATAACACATTAACATCATCCCAGTAGTTTATGGTATCATCGTTATGTGTATTGTAAACAAGTACAAGTATGTTTAAAAAAAATTTGAAAAATAACATTTAATTTTAAGTACTTCTAAACATTATTAGTCGTAGACTAATAAAATATCTGGACATTTGTTATCTAGACAACAAAAGACTTATCTTAGATGACGTTTAAATAAACATTTATAAATTCTTCTAGCTAAGATAAAAGATAATATTATTTTAATTTAGATAATTATCTAGAGTTTCCTAACATTGTTCACAGAGGGCACATAAAGCAAGCTTTAATTTGAAATAATTTAGAATGATTTATGTATTTTGTTACTATACAATATATTACAAAGTTAGCCATTTTATCGAAAATTGTATGATTTAATAATCGATGACTCCAAGAAATCGTAATTAAGGATAGTTTTCCTATTTCCATCTTATAGTACATTGTATTAGCATTAATATAATGTAGGTTTTAAGAAGGTAGATATTTTAAACATTACAAAAAATTAAAATTAAAAAATGTTGTTATGATTTTCAAGCCCCTATAGAACCTTGGCTAATGATTGGATTAAAAAAAAAACACAACATTAAATTAGGGATAGCAAAAATATATAATTTAATATTTTAAAATTAAAATACATGCCAGCCACTTTGTTCGGTTACATTGAATTATTTATTTATTAAATATTACATCATACAATAAATTGTTACTTTAAGTACCTGCTGTGGTCCTGTTTACCAATAATTGATTCTCAACAAAATCAATGCAAACGACCCGGGTAAACAAGTTACAATTATTGTAAATAAGTAAACCAAACATTAGCTATTATAATTATTGTAATTGTTCATTTTTTTTATAATTTTTCACTTTTGGTTTATGAGAACACTATTATCTAATGATTATATACTTTGTCTCAAACGATAAACAGGTTTTCCCTGCATTAATTTAAATTTTACATTTAATTACGATGGAATTTTAATTAAACAATATAAAATGCACCAAAGCGAATTAAAATGTTTAATGTCTATTTTTCCAATAATATGTAAAGTAAAAATCATAAAGGCATTAAGTTTTACTAACACTTCATCATATATTTGCTGAGATGAAAAATTTTATATTTCAACAAAACAACAAATAAATTAACATCAATAACTTTGTAACCCTCAAGATTTTAATAAGTTTCAAAGTTATTTCGTTAAATTTTATGTTGTTATTTAATGAAATCATTCCGATACTTACTTAATCATTTTCATTTGACACAACTCAGGAGAGAGTAGTTTGCAAATAAAGTGTATTTTTATGGTCGAATATATTTTTACTGTTTCACAACATAAATAAGAAGTCATTGCGAAATTATCATGAAAAACAAATGAAGGAGAAAGAAGGCAGAATGTCAGTTTGAAAAAAACAACTAGACCGAATGGCCGAATGATGAGATTTTTAACACGTTTGTTTTAATAGCGTTTCAAGGGCTTTTACATTGTCAATAAAATT